ACTTTGGCACTGACTAGCTGTGTGACTAAGGGCTAGCTATGACCTCTCAGAGCCTCAGTTTCCCCATACATGAAATGGAAATAATATATTTTTACATCTCAAAGTCTTAGTGAGGAAAATTCTTCATAAACCTTAAAGCACTACATAAATGTGACCTATTATAATGGCATAACTATCACTTAAATTAAGGTCTCCTCTCTTCCATTCCAGTCCTTTTACCATTATACCATATTGCCTCCTTGGCACTTGTGTCTCACATAACTGTCTGGCCAATGTCAGACATGGACTATTAGAAAACACTTATTTCTTCTTTTTTTCTTCTTTCTAACCCTGCTTTTTTTGGTTTTTTGTTTTTATTTTTGGGGTCCCAATTCCTCTACCTCTAATGCAGAGATAATGTCTCTTTCCCACAACAGGATATTGTTAGAACTCAAAGATCTATGTTCATGGTAATCTGTTTGTAAAAGTTATGGTGAATGGTGGCTGGCAAAGAAATAGATAAAACATCTTTTCATTGCTATTTATTGCTATTTATATCAAGCTTTAAGCAGGAGAGGGCATTGCATCATTTTTTCAGATGGGGAAAACTAAGCCCCAGAAAAGTGAAATTACTTGCCCAAGGTCACACAGATAACAAATAGAAGGATTAAGAGGATTAATTGTCAATCCTCTTGCTACTATATAAATAATACTGGGTTATTTCATTGCAGATTAATTGATGTTTCTGTGGGGCTATAAATTTAACAATATATCCCATTTTATACTGACTAAAGGCTAACATTGCTGTCTAGATTTCTGACTGAAACAATATTTATCACAGCCAGACTCTAAGCCTTCAAGTCTCACAAAGTACTTATGCCAGACAGTAACTTATTTAAAGCCCAGAGGTGTTTGTTTGAAATTATAAATTGCTACAACTAGGAGGCAGCTTCTAGTAACCAAAATGTGACCTCAGAGGGAAAATCAGAATGAAGGACCCAGGGCTGAGGCTATATCCCTTTATTCATCTAGTGGCATTGTCTCATTCCTTGGCCATCTGATTTGGCTACTTCCTAGGAAATAATAACAAAGATTTGTCAGGTGACAAGCTTAATATTCTTTTGGTTGTACAGTTGTTTTCAGTTGTGTCCAACTCTTCACGACCACATTTGGGGTTTTCTTGGCAGAGATACTAGAGTAGTTTGCCATTTCCTTCTCCAGCTCATTTTACAGATGAGGTAACTGAGGCAAACAGGGTTTAAGTGACTTTCTCAAGGTCTCACACAGCTGGCAAGTGTCCGAGGTCAGATGTGAACTCAGGAAGATAAGTCTTCCTGACTTTATGCCCAGCACTCTATCCATTGTACTACCTAGCTGCCTCAGTGACAAGCTAGTCCCAGGTAAAATAATTTCTGCATGAATGCAAAATTTATTTCTTAGTGATTTATTTGTTATTTGCTATCAAATCAATACTCATAAAGATTGTAGCATATTCTTCTTAAGCCATATGTGATTTGTGTGTGTGTGTGTGTGTGTGTGTGTGTGTGTGTGTGTGTGTGTGTGTGTGCTCTACAGAAAGGGTTCTTAACTATTTTTGTGTCATGGACCTCTTTGGCAAGCTGTTGAAGACTATAGATCCCTTCTTAGAATAATGGTTTTAAGCTCATAAAATAAAATAAAATAACAAGGAAAATCATTTATATTGAAAGAGAGTTCTCAGGGAGACTATATGATGTAATGGTAAAAGCACTGGACTAGAAGACTGGGCTAGAAGACCTGGATTTTTCTTTAAACAAGTTCATGGGCCCCAGGTTAAAACCACTTGCCCTAGAGAAAATATCTAGTGGGATCAGGAGAAGAGGTGACTGGAACAAGAGTTGGGAGAAAGGTACGTGGCTGGGGTAGGGTTGGGGAGAAGGAATAAACATGAAATAAATTTGAAACTAAATGGTCAAGACAAAGGCTTAGCCAACTCATGTCTGCTTCAGGTGTGACAATTCCAATTTGTAGATCGTTAAGGCCATTTTTTCCCTCCTTCTTAGTCTCAGACTTCAGCTGCTCTGTGATCTTTTCACTTCCCATTAAGGTCATCACAGAAACTGAGCTGGTTCAGGGATTATTATACCTTATGTTTGTATAATGCCTTGTGTCTTTCACTTCTGTTACCTCATTTGATCCTCAAAACAATACTCTGAGATTGGGAGGGCATGTATTTCTGGTACCCTTTTACAGATTAGGAAACTGAGGTCAGAGAGGTCTTGTTCAAGATCATAAAGGTAGTTAGTGAAAGAGTCCCAGCTGCAACCTAGACTTCTCTGACACTCAGCGTGGGCTCATACTGGTTTTTGAAAAGGGAAATAACTCCATTTTAGCATCATTTTAGCAATTCTAAGAGTTGATGGAGAAAGATGAAATAATCTGCTGAAAAGAGGTTAGGGTATTATCTGTTTGTTTCATTTGAAAGACAATGATTTCTAGCTTTAGAATATAAGCCCAGAGCAAAGCAAGGCATTTGAATAACCTAGGCAAGGCTTGAAAAATGCACCTCCTATGTATTTCCTCATTTGTAAAATGGAGACAGTATTTTCACTATCTACCTCAAAGACATAGTTTGAACATAGTGGATAGAAAGTAAGCTTAGGGGCAGCTAGGTGGTGCAGTGGATAAGAGCATGGAGCCTGGAGTCAGGAGGACCTGAGTTCAAATCTGGTCTCAGATAATTACTAGTTGTATGACCCTGTAGAAGTCACTTAACCTTGATTGCAAGAAAGAAAGAAAGAAAGAAAGAAAGAAAGAAAGAAAGAAAGAAAGAAAGAAAGAAAGAAAGAAAGAAAGAAAGAAAGAAAGAAAGAAAGAAAGAAAGAAAGAAAGAAAGAAAGAAAGAAAGAAAATGAACGTAAGCTTAGGTCAAGAAGACCTGAGTTCAAATTCTGATTCTAATACATACTAACTTATCCCTAGTAACAGCATCCTTGGTAAGTCTCCTTCCAGTTGTGAATGAATGAATGAACCCATACAAATAGAAAAGATAGTCCTAGTTTTCAAGGAGTTCTAATGGGGAAGACAACAAATAAGGAAGATTTCAACTGCAAATCAGATGAACAGGTCCCAGGGTCCTTAGAATGCAGCAGCAAAGTAGATGTTAGTGCTTCTTTAATGTCATTTCCACTGATAAAATCATATCATAGATCCAAACAAAACAGATGAATACCAGCCTCACAGGGTTGTAATGAGGCAAATAAACCCTGAAGTGCTGTTGAAATATGTTTTCATATCTCACACAATCAACACACAATCAACCAGCATTTCTTAAGTACCTAATATGTGTGTGTGTGTGTGTGTGTGTGTGTGTGTGTGTGTGTGTGTGTAGTGGTAGGTGCTTAAGAAACAAGTAATATATAATAGTGAGTACTTAAGTAACTAAGTACATAAGTAGGTACCTACTATATGTGTAGTAAGTACTTAAGCTAGATGGATAGATAGATATATCAGTCACTGTGCTAGGCACTGAGGAGACAAAGAAATAAACACAGTCTCTGCCTTCAAGAAGCAAAGGAGTATACATATGTATACTCTATGTATACATAAAAGTACATAAAAATATAAACAATATAAATGCAAGGTAATGGAGGGAGGGATGAAGGCACTAGGAGCTGAGAGGATCAAGAAAGGCTTTGTATAGAAAGTGGGCTTGAGCTGAGCCTTGAAGGAAACCAGGAGTTTTAAGACATGGGTTGAAAAGGAAAAGTATTCCAGGAATAGTGGAGACAGGCCCCCCTTTGCAAAGGCAAAGTTGTTTGTCCTTTGTTCTCAAAGAGGACCAATGACATCAGGAGGGTAATGTGAATCAGGACTTGCAAGTGAATTGGATTTAAGTGAGGTAAGGCTCACTTAAATCACACACTCACAGGTGTAAAGTCACCAAACTCACTCTCTCCTCCAGAGTCTTCTGAGTCCAGTGGCAAGACATAGTTTAGGACAACTGGTGATGGCCCCAGATGCAGTGGGATACGTTGGCCTTTTTAAGCTAAGGTCTTTCTCAGGCCTCAATTTGTCTGAGGCAACACCCATTCAGTGATTTAAGGCTGGCTAGGTAAGAAATGAGGCAAAAGGTGGCCTAATTTGCCTACTCAAAAAAAAAATCAGTCTAGAAGGGAGGATGCTCAGGGTTTCTGCTAGAACAGAAACAATTGCCATTTACACTCACTCTGAGCCATCAGACCCCAAACAATGACGAAGTGAGGCTTGGGCTGGGACCTGCTATTGATCTATCAGTGACAGGCAGAGTGATTTGGGTTTGAGGCATAGTCAAGCAGCTCCATTTGAATCCCAATGGGCTTTATCGAAGCCTGGTTTTCCAGAGTTCTATTTCAAGAAATCATAAATGAAACTACATGTGTCAGAAGAGTTAATTGTCCCAGTTTTTTTTTTAACGATAGAATAAATAAGTAGGGAGAAGAACACCCCCCCCAAGAAGAAAAGCTCCCAACCCCAAGATATCTTGTGAGGTTTAAGCAATCAAAATTTACTTTCCTTTGGGCAGAGCACCGACATGTAAGGGTATGAGTGCCCATGTGGACAGAGTGAAGGAAGGAAGGAAAGGAGGGAAGGAGCATTGACCAACTGGAATTAGAGGCCAGAGGTGGAATGTTATGTGTAAAGAACAGCAAGAAGACCAGTTTTGTTGAAATATGTAATGTGCGAAGGGGATTAATAGATAATAAGACTGGAAAAATGGGTCAAAGCCAGGTTGTGAAGAACTTTAAATACCAAGGAGAACAGTTCATATTTGATCCTAAAGGACATAGGAACCCACCAGTTTACTGAGCAGGGAATTGACATATTTGGACCTGTTGTTGACTACAAAAGCTCATGGTAATTTTTATTTGTGAATCCTAATCCTTACACGTGGAGAGGAAATTGCTTGAATATATCTGGCTATGAATCACTGGGCAAATGATGAATTTGTATTTACAAAGAAAGAAGTGAAATTCATACCTGTGTTCTTTTCTTCTTTTCAGTGAAAATCTATATACTCGGGCAGAAGTGACCACAGTGACTGAAAATCCTGTTCTCCACTCCAGAATTACTGGGCACAACTTGGCTCAACCTTGCTACACAAAGAGTAGTGACTGGCTGGACTTATCTTTACCTAGGAAAGTTGTCAGGAGAGCTTCAAACCATAGAAATGATAGCTCTGCTTACTTGGCAGAAATGATGTGAAAAAAGCCACACGTTCCTATCATTTGCTGTTGCTTGTTGAACTGTGAAGAACCGCATAGACTATATTTAAGCTACTTTCTCTACTGTTGCCAATCACCCTTTGGGACTTGGAAGTCATATTTTCCTATTGGCTCTTGTGTTTATTTCATTTGCATGTATCCAGTGATAATGAACAAGTCAAATATGTAATCTGAATATCTATTTAAAAACTCATCAATACGAAATGGTGAATAAAGTGTAAATTCTGCTCCTTTTTTCAAAGTCATAATCTCGTAAGTCCATGTTGTTGGAAGTCTAAACAGATTTCATACAAGGGTCAGCGTAACCGTTCTGCACCGACTTTATGGAGACTTGCTTCTATAAAGATACTCTCACTGTTGACTAGTGAAATGAGAGAGAGAAAGCTATTTATAACAAGGCCTTATGTTGTGTACATATATTGTCTTTGGAATATTTGTGATTCAGTTTATTGCTTGTTATAAGAGAAATTATATAATTTATTTAGTAAATACTACTGTAAACTATAGTTTTGTTGACAGAAATAAAAATATTTTGTTCTCAACATTGGCAGTATATTGGTTTTGCCTGCTCTTTCCATTGTTATTCTTTTAACTCCTCTTCCCTTCTTTATGACATTTGTGGCCCCAACAGTCAGCAAATTGCTTGAAAAGAAATTGAGAATACGGCAAGCATAAAGAATGAAATAAAAAATAGCTCCCAAAAGGGAAGTCTCAATAAATGATGGGTAAATAATCTAAGATGCTGCTTCCTAAAATGCCATGATGACTAGTTTTGGTAGCATAATTATAAGTAGCTATGTAATAAATGGTACAGGCAAGACATTGCCTTAACAATAACAAAATAATAATAATAATAATTTCCATTTATGTAGTACTTTAAGGTTTACAGAATACTTTACTCAAAACAACCCTGGTAGTGTAAGTACCAACCCCATCTTATAAGTGATAAAGCTGGGGCTCAGAGAGGTTAAGTAATGTGTTCATAGTCACACTGCCAATGGATATTAGAGCTGAAAATCAGTAGGAAGCAAGAGAATTAAGTCAGCTTCAGGAAGTACCTTCATAGGAGGAAAATGTTGAGAAAGAAATTTCCTTAGAGCAAAAATAGTACTTGAAAATTCCAATTATGAAAATTGTGAATCCAATTAATATAAAATACTGTTTAACATAATAATACTGTTTAACATAATTAATTTAACATAATAGTTTTCAAGTCCACTCCAGGTTTAAATCCTAGGATCTATTAAAGCTATCTATGCAATGTGTTCTAAATTGGTCCCTTCCTTTCTATTTCCACTGAAAGCATTCTAGTTCAGGGCCTCATTACCTCTTGCCAGAACTGTTGTAACTTCCCAAATGGTTTCCCTGACTACAGTCTCTTCCCCAACTATAATTCATCCTACATACAGCTGCCAGAGCAATCTTCCGAATGCACAAGTCTGTTCATGTCATTCCCTCACTCATAAACCTTCAATTCCTATTGCCCACAGAATACAAATGCCTTAGCCTGACATTCAAGTTCCTCCATAACATAGGGCCTACCTAACTTTCTACCATTAGCCATTTCTATTACCCTTCACACATAATACATTACTGCCAAATTGGAGGAATTGTTGATTGTTGGGTCTGTCCCACTGTCTCCTTTTTCCATGTGTAAAAGATGTCTGTGTCCCTAGTCTCCTTGAGAAATGCCATTATTTAAAAAAATTAAACAAAAAAAATTTTTAAGAGAAATGCCATGATTGGAACATCTCCCAATTTGCTTTGGTGCCAGCACTGCTCATATTGGTTTGATTTGGAGACATGAGGCAAAATGTAGGAGTGACATACAAAGGTTAAAGGGAGAGGAGAATGTAATGATGGCCAATTTTACAAAACAGCCATACCTGTCGCCTGCTGTGTGTTAACCTTAGATCTGTGACAGGCAGTGCTACACCTGAAGAGCATTACCATTCAGGATGTATCCCTTTTCAGTGCTGGGGTTTCAGGGATAGACAGATGTACAAACTAGGCCAATGAAGAGCAGAATCTCTGGGATCTTGGAGGTAACAAGCCTGCCATTCTCTTTTCCATTGTAGCTGCAACCAAGAAAATCACCAAAAATACATGCAGCCCTTCTGTGGCCCTGAGTAGCACCAAGGGATTTTGGATAAGCTAGACAGCCTCACAACTTGGCTCTCCCAGAGTTCAGGAGACCAAAGAGCAAGAAAACAGACTTCAGTCTGAAAAGGATCTTACCTTAGAGATTCAGATATGGAAAGTGATTGGAATGTTAAATTCTGATATGTGTATCAAATGCTTCTTTGACCGTGATTTTACTATTCTAAGTAAACTAACTCTGAACTTGGGATGTAACTGGATGTTAGCAGTCTGGATCTACCAAATAGAGTTGCTAGGGAAGGGGATAAGAGGAAGAGGAGGAGGGGGAGAGAGATGGAGAGAGAGAGAGAGAGAGAGGAGAGAGAGAGGAGAGAGAGAGAGAGAGAGAGAGAGAGAGAGAGAGAGAGAGAGAGAGAGAGAAAACTGATTGATGAGTAGCCCAAGTTATAGAAACTGGTATGTGATATAATGTCCCACTGGGGCCCCAAAGGAAGCACTGATATATCACATACAAGAAATATCAAGATACCTATTACATATTGGCCCCCACACATGGAACGCAGTGCGCCATCTCTGTTAAAGTTCTTCCCTACTGTCAAAGCCCAGTTCAGGCATCACTTACTACACGAATACTTCCCTAACTTCCTAACTAAAGGTAATCTTTTCCCCCTCAACTCTCTGATGGTATTTTGTGCCATTCCTATGCACCTACCATGCTCTGATGTATACTTCATTTACTTGTATCCCTGCCTTATATATCCAAATAGATTGAAAACTCTTTGGGGAAAGGTATAATACCTTTTACGTGTCTTTGTATATGCAGCATCTAGTAAAACACTCAGCACTCAGTAGATGGATCATTAATATCTATTTAATTAAGTTGAATTGAAGGCAATGTGGGGCAGAGTAAATAAGTAAAATCATACCACTTGGGCCTGTGAGAGGGAAGCAGGGACAGGACTAGTCCTTTATAGTACCTTCTCCCACTTCTTGACTTTTTCCTACCTCCCCAGTAGTTCAATGACCATGTGCTGCTATCCACCCCTGCCCTCCCCACCCTCACTTTAGCACAACATCCAAGTCTGCTTTGGCCCTACAGTGATCCACATTTGGAACTCACTCTCACCCCTCTTGTACCCTCCTCCTCCCTATATGTTCCTATCAAAATACCCTTTCTCTTGTACTTCATTTGTGACCCATTTTGGGTTTTCTTGGCAAAGATCCTAGAGTGGTTTGTCATCTTCTCCAGCTCATTTTACAAATAGGAAGCTGAGGGACACAGTGTCAAGTGACTTGCCCAGGGCCACACAGCTAGTAAGTGTCTGAGGACAGATTTGAACTCACAAAGATGAGTCTTACTGACTCTAGGTCCAGCACTCTATTCACCATGCCGCCTACCTGCCCTTAATTAAATTATTACCTTGCACTATTTTTATAACTGCTTCTAAAACCTACCATTTGGCCCCCTCACTGATCCTCCAGCTGCCTGTTTCCTATTAACTTCAAACTGCTATAAAATTCCTCCAGGCAATCCTCTCTTGCTGCTTGACCCATCATACATTCATGTATGCTTGAGCTAACAGATTCCTTAGAAGTTATCTGGTCCTAGCAAAGAACTGGAAACAAAGTAGATGCCCATTGGTTGGGGGATGGCTAAATACATTGTGGTACATGAATATAATAGAGGAGTGCTGTTGTGTAAGGAACAAACAAACTTCCATAGAAGTATGGAAAGACTTAGATGAACTAATGCACAGGGAAGCAGGAAAAAAATATACCTAATGACTACATTAATGTAATTGGAAGGAACAATAACCACAAAACAATGCAGAATTAATGTTGCAAAATTACAAAGAGCAAAGTTGGCTCAGAAAAAGAGATAGAAGAACATATCTCCCATTTGCAGAGGTGCACGGAGGGGGTCTACAGCTGTAGAATATTTTAGGTAATGTTAGATTTTTTATGTATTGATTGGTTTTGTTAATTTTTTAAAAAATCTCTTTTTTTAAAAATACTTTGTTATTAAGGATGGTTTTCTGAGAGGGGGAAAAAAGACATAGGAGGAAATCTAGACAATTGGAAAAAACCAAAAGATATCAATAAAAATCTCTCTTAAAAAAGAAATGAGGGGGCAGCTAGATGGTGCAGTGGATAGAGCACTGGCCCTGGATTCAGGAGGACCTGAGTTCAAATACAGTCTCAGACAAATACTAGCTGTGTCTTAACCCCATTGCCTAGCAAGAAGAAGAAGAAGAAATGAGGTAGTCCAAGCACCTCATTTTAAAATAATATGTTATTGATAACTGGTTTTTATATCACATACATTTCCCTCACAAATGACTTTCCCAGAGAGCCATCCTTTATAACAAAGAATTCTTTTTAAAACAGTTCAGCAAAACTAGCCAACACACTGAAAAGATCTGATCTTACATGCAACATTCCACACCAATAGTTCCCTGACCTCTCCAAAGAATGGGGAAGGTGGCATGTCCTAAGTCTTCTTAGGAACCACATCAGATCATTATATTTTCACAGCATTGTCTCATTGCTTTGTTGTTCCTTCCATTTATATCGTTGTAGCAACAAAAAAAAAACAACAACTTTTTTTTGCGAAACCCTTCATTGTAGAGATGAGGAAACAGACCCAAAGAGGTCATGTCTTGCCCAAGGTCACACAGCTTGTTAGGAACTTAGCTGACCCTTGAACCCAGGTCACTGAATGCAAGTCCAATGCTCTTTCCTTATCTATATCCCCACTATCTCCCAGAGAGAAGTAACTTTTATCACCTCGATTTCCTAATAAGCATAGAATCCACTACACCAAGGGAATTTTCTTTTTTCTTTTCTTTTCCTTCTGCAGGATCAATTGAGCAGGAGTACTCATAGTCAGAAGATTCTGGGAAACTTAATTAACAGGTTTGACTACCCCTAGATATCAGAAACTTAGGACAGTGTGATTTTGGGGCCCTAAGACAAAATTTAACTCAGGACAGCATCTTCCCCTAAAATTATCCCTAGGTAAGTTGAGGAAACTGGAGCAGTGGCTTAGTCCTTCCTTTGGCTGGAAAGGGAACCCAGAACCACAAACTCGCCTACACTGTTCAGCTTACCAAGGAAAGGTTTTACTTTGTAATCTGTAAAATCTTCAGTCCAAAGAGTGGTGTTCACTAAATTTACATCTAAGGAAGATCTCTTATGGAGTGCCCAGTTGTCTTCCACATTTTCATCAATAATAGCAATTCACATTTCCATAGTGCTTGAAGGTTTACAAAGCACCTTCCTCATGATGCTGTGAGGCAAGTAGTATAGATATCATTATACACATTTACAGATGAGGAAATCAATAAATACTCAGAAAGTTGAAGGAATTACACAGAGCTAGGTCTCAAACCCAAGCCCTCTTGTCCCAAAGCCAGTAATCATTCCTCTATTCGTGCGACCT